TTTCCATAGAGCTGAGAAAATGTATTTAGTGTGCTGTCTCGCAGATTGCTTGTTAAAATGTGACAGGTGTCACAGAGAGGCAAGGAGATATAGAATCTGCCCATATCACATTAGAAAGATGCATGTGTGTGCATTCAAGATCACTTTTCTGGTTACCGATCCCCTGAATTAAGAAGGTGTGTGTGATTGTGTCACAGTTACAGCAGAGAGAGAGAGAGACACACACAGTGGGTGAGTCTGCAGGTGGAGGTGTGATGCAGACGTCAGACAAGGAGGATCGGAGGGTGCGAGCGGGGCTACCCTTACCAAAAAGTAGTATACTTCAAGTTTATTTTATTAAGTATGCTTAAGTAAAGTTCAAGTATATTCTGAAGTATACTTTATGTAGCAAGTATACAAATATCAGTGTACTAGTAGTATACTTGTAAGTGTACTATTTCAATACTCCTTGGGACTAAATTGGCCCACTTTCTAGTATATAAAAGTATACTTTTAAGTATACTTTAAGTATAACAGTAGTAAACTTTGAGTACACAACTAGTTTACATCAATATTTTTAGCTTGTACTGCAACTATACTAAAACTGAACTTATATGAATACTGACAGTTTTCTAATTAAATACTTGTAGTAGCATTTTTAGTACACTTTGAAGTATAGTCTCAGTAAACTACTAGTTTAGTAGTTTTATACTGCAAGTATACTCGTAAGTTTTCTTTAAGTGAACTTTACTTCATACTTTGAGTATACTACTACGTCCCTATTTAGGTATTAATTTGTATATATTTTGGTAAGTTTTCTTTAAGTGAACTTTACATCATACTTTAAGTATACTACTATGTCCCTATTTAGGAATTAATTTGTATATATTTTGTTATATGAATATCTGAACATACAAAACATCAAAAGAAAGAACAGGGTATCTGGTTGTAAACAAAAACATTTTATTCTAGCTTCATGCATTCTTTTTTTAAACACTTGAATGTGGGTAAGTTTCATAAATAATAATAAAAAAAGAAATAACATTTTGAACAAAAAGCTGAAAAAAAGACTATGAATTGGATTCAGAACGATAATCAAACGTAGATAGAGTCGATCAACACCCCCAAAGCTTGACAGTCGGTATAACCTCTTCATTGGTCGACGTTACATCAACGTTACACAGTTTTGATGCTGTTTTATGTCTGAGGATCGTGTTAGATTACATGTGGAAGCATCTGTTGTTTCGGTTTCTTCAGTATACTTTCCTATTTTTAGTTTAAAAGAAGTATACTAATAGCACACTTGAATAAACGTATTTTTCGTAAGGGTAAACAAACCTAAAAAACCCACTAAATTACGTGCAGTGACCAGCAAGATAATACGTACTTGTCGCCAATTTCTCGTTTTGTTTTGTATTGTTTAGTAAAACCCCAGGATCATATACATAATACTGTTCCATGCAATGACTAGCAAGATAAATGCAGCCCATTTCAGACAATTGTTTTATGTTTTGTGTGTGTGTGTGTGTGTGTGTGTGTGTGTGTGTGTGTTTTGTATAACCCCAGGTTCATATACACAATATTTAGTGCAGTGACCAGCAAAATAAAATTACTTGTAGCTAATTTCATGTTTTATTGTTTTGTTTAGTAACACCTCAGGTTCAAATACACAATACTAGTGCAGTGACCAGCAAAACAAATTTCAGACAATTGTTTGTGTGGGTGTATGTGTTCTGACTTCTTTTGTTTGTTTACACAATATCAAATACACAAAACACAAGAATCTGTGCAGTGACCAGCAAGATCAATTTTTTCTGATTTCAAAAAACTTTTTTTTAATGTGTGTTTTATTGTATTTATTTTGTTGCTTCTTCTTTTGTTTTGTAAAACCGCAGGTTCAAATACACAGGACTAATCCGTGCAGTGACCAAGATAAACTCACTAATCATCAATTTCATTATTGTTTTGATTTATGATTTTAAACATTATTTTTCTTAGTATTATCAATGTTGAAAACAGTTGTGCTGCTTCATATTTGTGTGGAAAATGTGACATTTATTTTATAAGGATTCTTTGATGGATAGAAAGTTCAAAAGAACAGCATTTATTAGAAATATGTATCCTTTGTAACATTATAAATGTCTTTTAATCAATGTAATGCTTCATCAAAGTAATTTAATTCAAATTTAAAATAAATCTACTGACCCTAAAGCTTTTGAATGGCAGTTTGTCCTTTAAAAACAGTATATAACAGTAATACAGCTCCAAACTAACCTTCAGTCAGTTAACTTTAAACTTTCAGGCATGGTTTTGTTAAGTCAACATTCAAAGTTTCCCATTTTATTTGAACGTAATAGTGCGGTCATTGTGTTACTGCTGTTGGTTAATTGGAACACAGAGTGAAATATTTTAATTCAAATCTTCCACTGGTCATGCTGTTATTTTAATCACGCTTATGAGACAATCGAGTGTTTTGTATCAGTAGGGTGGAATCCGCTAATGATTACAGTATACAGTACTGAACTTCAGTGCTACACATGAGTCACTTTGAGAAAGAAAGTCACATATTTTATAGAGATTTCCTGAGGCCAGGGCAGGTGGATTCTCATTCAGTCGAAGACAGAATCACTTGCCCCTCCCTATGAGAAAGCATTTTCAACTTAGTATCTCTTTAATACACCTTAAACGTGGTGTCTGACAACTTAAACGTGGTGTTCTTTCTTCAAACATGAATGCTCTGTGAAATGCACTAATATAAACGACTGTCACATACACAAAGCATGAAGACACTATTTGAAAATCATAAACTGCTTATATATGGTTTAACAAATGGAACACCTGCCACTATGTGATTAAAATCTAAATTAAAAATAATTGTATAGTGCCTTATGGGATAGATTTCTTTGTAACTGTACCTTAAAATTTCCTGTACTTTAAATCTTTCCTTTAAATGAATTTAGCTCTATATTTTTAAACTCTTTGTTTGCTTTGTTTTGTTGTGTTGTGTTCTGTTTTGTTTTGTTTTTAATTGTAATATTGTTTTGTGTTGATTTGTGTTTTTTTGTTTTGTTTTGTTTTGTTTTATTTTATTTTTTGTTTTGTTTTTGTTTAATTTTCAGTTTTGTGTTGTTTTGTTACGTTTCGCTTTTTGTTTTGTGTTGACTTTTGTTTTGTCATATGTTTGTGTTTGAGTTGTGTGTGTGTGTGTGTGTGTGTGTGTGTGTGTGTGTTTTTGCCGTTTTGTTAAATTTTTTGTTTATTTTTTTTTAATTTGTTTATTTGTTTTTGTTCTGTGCTATTTTGTGTTGCATTTTGTTTCTTTTTTGTGTTGTGTTGTGTTTTTCATTTTGTGTTTTGTTTTGTTATTTTGTGTGTTGTGTTGTGCTGTGCTTTTTTTTTTTTTGCTGATAGTAGTAGATTAAGCTTAATAAATTTTGGGGTTTATGACTGTTGCAATGTCTAGTTTCTTCAGAACTAGATCAAGGATTACAGAACAGTAACCACAGAATTTCTTCACCATCCTAGTTATGGTACGTGATTATTGTGGTTACAAAAATTAATTAGACGTTAGACATTTTTAAAGTGAACTCTCGTTTGAAGTTCTGGGTTCAAGAAACCAAGAACAACACAAACAATATCTAAAAAAAAATTGTAATAAAAAAAAAATCACAATAAGTGATTGAAATGTCTGATAAACTGTAAGTATCTGTTTTTACCAAAGGCTTTGAGAACACTAGATTATATGGCAGTGTCTGTCAGGACAAAATGTAAAACACTAGGCCAGAGATCCAGACCAAGATAACCATTTTATGATCTTGAGTGATATGAACCATGTGATTAACATGATGCTGTAAGGACAGAAGCTGTAAAACTACAGTAAACAGACCATCTGAACAGGCTTAGCAACCTGTTTATCGAATAATTAGAAGTGAAGTAGTTCAGAAAGTAATCATTTGGAAACTAAGATAAATTCTGGCGATCACCGAATTCCAGTCCAAAAAACACTGAGTGGACAAACAAAACTTCCCAATACTCACATAACCTCCTTTTTTGCACAAAGATTTATTAGTTAACAATAATTATCAATGCACACCTAGCTTGGGGCGTTTTACTTTGATTCAAACCGTGAGTAATTCTCAATAACTGTATTTTTACAGTATGTTCAGAGTGTGTTTGTGTATTTACTAGGGCTTAAACCAGTTTTCACAGGTTTCACTGGGTGTGGTTCTGTTAAAATGCATATAAAACACAACAAATACAATAAAAATACTTTGCAAAACTCATTACTTAATAATAATTATAAACGTTAAGGCAAAAATCGTAATTTATCTATAAATACATATTTATCTATAAATTATGTTTATCAATTAATAAATTGCATAGGGGTCAATAAGCTATTCGCGCTCCTCGTTGTGACAGTGAATGCCATGGAAAATTATAAGCATGTTAATGACTGTAATGAAATCTCATAGTTTGAAATCTTTTGGTAAGGATCTAATAACATTTTTATGAGTCATATTTCATTATGGTCACAGTACAGTATGGCATTTCCGGCCAGTGACATTTAGGGAACTGGAACAGGGAGTAGACGACGATTGTGACACAGAGTTCACTTGATTCTGCGAAAAGATGATCGGTAACACACAGGGAGGGGTTTCCAGAATGGGAAGGGGTGTATGTGTGATCTTAGCTATAGCCTACTTATATTGCATATGAAGAAAACAAGTAACATTAGCAAATTAACAAAAATACCAATAACATAAAATAAAATAACAGCGCATGGTAAACTAAGAACGAACAGATCAAAAATAAACCGTCAAAATAAATTGTAAAACAATAGTATTCACAATTCTTTCTCAATAATATTCGCAATTCACTGTACCTATTACTTTCACACTAATTGCATGACTTTTTAACTTTGCTTTGTGCACTTTATGATCTATAATCTTTTTAATCTACATTCCTTTATATTATATGCAAACCATCCCGGAAATAGACCATGTGACTCAAGCTGAGCCAATGAGACTGACAGCTCTCCTCAGGTCACCTGTCATATGACTCGCGTTTTGACCGTTTCAGCGCTTTTTTACTGTCATCTCGTTGTGTAGCTCGAACTGACCAGCAGTCCGACAGCTCTGAAACACGACTGAAGTGTCCAGTAGCATGGCCCACACCGGCACACACTCTCAGCCCGTGCGGGCTTGTTTGCTCTTAGTTGTCGTCAGTGTGTGGGTGCAGCAGGTGGATGGAGTCTGGCCGCTGCCGCAGCAGCTCGATCAGTCCGCGGACAGAAACAGTCTGAGTCCTCAACGGTTCTCCTTCACTTACGGGAGGGACTCGGCCGCGCAGACTGGGTGCTCCGTCCTGGACGCTGCTTTCAAGAGATACTTCTCCATCATATTCCCTGACTTCACGAAAGGATCAGGTCTGTTGATGTCTGAGAATGAATCAATCAGATATACTTCCGTGTAGTTGGATGGGTGTTTATGTTACACAGTAACGTTACACAAGACGGTAACATAAAACTTGTTTAGAAATCATCTATTTAAAAATATGAAATGATAAAGTTTTCTAAACATATTTTATTAATAAATGCAGTCTGTTAAAAATATCATCCCAGTCAGTGATATCATTAAAATGGAGCTGTTCCAGTGTAGTCTACGGATGATTTAAAAGTAATGAAAAGCCAAATAAAAATGTATCCGCTTTCCTTTTTATCTTATTTATTTATTTTTTATTTTTATTTGCTATTTATTTCGTTGGCATTATTTTATATATGTTTTTTTTTTATTTTATTTTTTTACATGTTTTAAGAAGAAATGTGCACAAACACGTTTTTTTTCTGGTCGTTTGACTCTGTACAGAACCCCTAAGGGGACATGACCTTGGGGAAAAAACTGCATTTGCTCACAAACATTTTGTGATGGAAATGAGGTGGGAGGAAAACAATTCTGTGCTTTTGAGAGACAACCCAAAGTTCTATCGCTAAAGTTTCACATTCTCTCGCTAAACATTTTGCATTCTATCGGTAAAGTATTGCTTTCCCCTGAAAAATTTTGTGTTCTCTTGCTCGACATTTTATGGAGGACCAAACCTGCAGAAATTAAAAATAAATAAATGTGTGTATAAATACACGTATTCTTGTTTAAATACATATATAAATAATTAAACGTGTGATGAAAGTAGGCAAATAAATAAAACAAATTGGTGGCCAAATGGAAATGAATGCCGGGAAATGACCCCTCTGGCCATTCCGTTGGGTCGTTTGTAAAGTCACAGATACTGTACGGAAAATACGGCTCAGTTTTTCTATGTATCTTACTCTGTTGAACGGCAAAGGTGACTTTACTAGGCTATACTGGATTTACACCATGCATTTCCAGAGATTAATATTTCACATAAAACTATGTTTAGCTTTAAAAACATAAATATTATGTCGATAAAGCCTCATTCTGACAGTATTCCAACAGTAATAGTATCAGGTACAGTAGTACATCGCCAATTAAATAAACGATTTGTGCAAATATTACATACTTTCTCCAGATACAATGCGCGCAAGATCGTTCCAGTTAAAAATAGGAAATATCAACTGTGCAAAAAAACAACAACTTTCTTCTCATTCAACATAAATATGAAACATGCCGCGGAACAATGTGCTTCACCTCTGGCCACGTGATTTACTACTACATCCGGGTCATGGCTGGCGTTTACGCGTTTATGCATCTCCTGTCAGCGGGAAAGCCACGCCCCCAGCTATCACATGACCCGAGCAGGTCCATAATTAACACCCTCTCATTAGCATGTTGAGCAGAGGACAAATAAATGCGGAACTACATTCAGAAATAAATGAGTGATTAAAAGAAAACAGTTAGGATGAGTTTAGCTTTTCCTTAAACATTTTCCATTTGACCACCAATTTATTTTATTTATTTGCCTATATTTCATCACACGTTTAATTATTTATATACATATTTAAACAACTACTTTAAACAAGATTACGTGTATTTATACACACATTTATTTATTTATTTGCGTATTTATTTATTTATACACATTTATTTATTTATTTGTGTTTTTATTTATTTTTAATTTCTGCAGGTTTGGTCCTCCATAACATTTGTGTTCTATTATTAAAGTATTGCGTTCCCTTGAAAAAAGTCTGCTTTCTCTCACTCAACATTTGCGTTCTCTTGCTCAACATTTGCATTCTCTAGCTCAACATTTGCATTCTCTCGCTCAACATTTGCGTTCTCTCGCTCAACATTTGCGTTCTCTCGCTCAACATTTGCGTTCTCTCGCTCAACATTAGAATTCTATCGGTAAAGTATTGTGTTCCTCCAAGAAATTTTGCATTCTCTCGCTCAACATTTGCGTTCTCTCGCTCAACATTTGCATTCTCTTGCTCAACATTTGCATTGTCTTGCTCAACATTTGCATTGTCTTTCTTGCTCAACATTTGCGTTCTCTCGCTTCAACATTTGCGTTCTCTCGCTCAACATTTGCGTTCTCTCGCTCAACATTTGCGTTCTCTCGCTCAACATTTGCGTTCTCTCGCTCAACATTTGCATTCTATCGGTAAAGTATTGTGTTCCCCCAAGAAACTCTGTGCTCTCTCGCTCAACATTTGCGTTCTCTCGCTCAACATTTGCATTCTCTCGCTCAACATTTGCGTTCTCTTGCTCAACATTTGCATTGTCTTGCTCAACATTTGCATTGTCTTGCTCAACATTTGCGTTCTCTCGCTTCAACATTTGCGTTCTCTCGCTCAACATTTGCGTTCTCTCGCTCAACATTTGCGCTCTCTCGCTCAACATTTGCATTGTCTCGCTCAACAATTGCTTTCTATCGGTAAAGTATTGTGTTCCCCCAAGAAACTTTGCTTTCTCTCGCTCAACATTTGCGCTCTCTCGCTCAACATTTGCATTGTCTCGCTCAACATTAGCATTCTATCGGTAAAGTATTGTGTTCCCCCAAGAAACTTTGCATTCTCTCGCTCAACATTTTCGTTCTCTTGCTCAACATTTGCGCTCTCTCGCTCAACATTTGCGTTATCTCACTCAGCATTTGCGTTTTCTCGCTCAACGTTTGCGTTCTCTCGCTCAACATTTGCGTTCTCTCGCTCAAAATTTGCGTTCTCTCGCTTGACATTTGCGTTCTCTCGGTCGAGTATTGCGTTCCCTCAATAAACTCTGCATTCTCTCGCTCAACATTTGCGTTCTCTCGCTCAAAATTTGCGTTCTCTCGCTTGACATTTGCGTTCTCTCGGTCGAGTATTGCGTTCCCTCAATAAACTCTGCATTCTCTCGCTCAACATTTGCGTTCTCTCGCTCAAAATTTGCGTTTTCTCGCTCAACATTAGCATTCTATCGGTAAACTATTGCGTTCTCTCGCTCAACATTTGCGTTCTCTCGCTCAACATTTGCGTTCTCTCGCTCAACATTTGCGTTCTCTCGCTCAACATTAGCATTCTATCAGTAAAGTATTGTTCCCCCAAGAAACTTTGCATTCTCTCGCTCAACATTTGCGTTCTCTCGCTCAAAATTTGCGTTCTCTCGCTTGACATTTGCGTTCTCTCGGTCGAGTATTGCGTTCCCTCAATAAACTCTGCATTCTCTCGCTCAACATTTGCGTTCTCTCGCTCAACATTTGCATTCTATCGGTAAAGTATTGTGTTCCCCCAAGAAACTTTGCGTTCTCTCGCTCAACGTTTGCGTTCTCGACGTTTGCGTTCTCTCGCTCGACGTTTGCGTTCTCTCGCTCGACATTTGCGTTCGCTCGCTCGACGTTTGCGTTCTCTCACTCAACATTTGCGTTCTCTCGCTTGACATTTGCGTTCTCTCGCTCGATATTTGTGTTCTCTCGCTCGACATTTGCGTTCTCTCGCTCGACATTTGCGCTGTATCGGTAAAGTATTGTGTTCCCCCAAGAAACTTTGCATTCTCTCGCTCAACATTTTCGTTCTCTCGCTCAACATTTGCGCTCTCTCGCTCAACATTTGCATTGCCTCGCTCAACATTTTCGTTCTCTTGCTCAACATTTGCGTTCTCTTGCTCAACATTTGCGTTCTCTCGCTTCAACATTTGCGTTCTCTCGCTTCAACATTTGCGTTCTCTCTCTCAACATTTGCGTTCTCTCGCTCAACATTAGCATTCTATCGGTAAAGTATTGCGTTCCCTCAATAAACTCTGCATTCTCTCGCTCAACATTTGCGTTCTCTCGCTCAACATTTCCGTTCTCTCGCTCGACATTTGAATTCTCTCTCTCGACATTTGCATTCTATCGGTAAAGTATTGCGTTCCCTCAATAAACTCTGCATTCTCTCGCTCAACATTTGCATTCTCTCGCTCAACATTTGCGTTCTCTCGCTCAACATTTGCATTCTATCGGTAAAGTATTGTGTTCCCCCAAGAAATTTTGCATTCTCTCGCTCAACATTTACGTTCTCTCGCTCAACATTTGCATTCTATCGGTAAAGTATTGTGTTCCCCAAGAAACTTTGCGTTCTCTCGCTCGACATTTGCGTTCGACATTTGCGTTCTCTCGCTCGCCATTTGCGTTCTCTCGCTCGCCATTTGCGCTCTCTCGCTCGACATTTGCGCTCTCTCGCTCGAAATTTACGTTCTCTTGCTCAACATTTGCATTCTCTCGCTCAACATTTGCGTTCTCTCGCTCAACATTTGCATTCTATCGGTAAAGTATTGTGTTCCCCCAAGAAACTTTGCATTCTCTCGCTCAACATTTCCGTTCTCTCGCTCGATATTTGCGTTCTCTCGCTTGACATTTGCATTGTCTCGCTCAACAATTGCTTTCTATCGGTAAAGTATTGTGTTCCCCCAAGAAAGTTTGCATTCTCTCGCTCAACATTTGCGTTCTCTCGCTCAACATTTGCGTTCTCTCGCTCAACATTTGCGCTCTCTCGCTCAACATTTGCATTGTCTCGCTCAACATTTGCGTTCTCTTGGTCAACATTTGCGTTCTCTCGCTCAACATTTGCGTTCTCTTGCTCAACATTTGCGTTCTCTTGCTCCGCATTTGCGTTCTCTCGCTCAACATTTCCGTTCTCTCGCTCAACATTTGCGCTCTCTCGCTCAACATTTGCGTTCTCTCGCTCAAAATTTGCGTTCTCTCGCTCAACATTAGCATTTTATCGGTAAAGTATTGCGTTCTCTCGCTCAAAATTTGCGTTCTCGCGCAACATTTGCGTTCTCTCGCTCAACATTTGCGTTCTCTCGCTCAACATTTGCGTTCTCTCGCTCAACATTTGCGTTCTCTCGCTCGACATTTGCATTCTCTCGCTCGACATTTGCGTTGTATCGGTAAAGTATTGCGTTCCCTCAATAAACTCTGCATTCTCTCGTTCGACTTTTGCGTTCTATTGGTTAAAATGTTTGCGTTTCCCAGAGAAACTTTGCTTTCTCTCGCTAAACATTTGTGTTCTAACGCTAAAGCATTGTGTTCCCCCGAGAAATGCAATGGTAATTTAGCAAGAGAACACAATGTTTCTCGTGGGAGCACAACAATTTGGCTAGCGAACACAAAGCTTCTCGGGGGGAACGCAATACTTTAGCGATAAACGATCCTGTAGTGATAAAAAAAATATGGCCATGTCAACTAAGGTTGACAGGGACAATTTTAGCTTCTTAAAACTAAATAATGACTATATATATATACAATGGGTGCCGTCAGAATGAGAGTTTGTTAAAAAAAACAGTCAAAACTAGTCATTTTAAATGTGAATATATATTTTTAAATAAAATGTTAATTTAAATTAATGTAAATAAATGTATATATATATATATATATATATATATATATATATATATATATATATATTTATTTAAAGAATCAATTTCTCAGCCCTGAGAACAATACAACAGAAAAACGTATCAAAACTTGGCAAATACGGCAAAAAATGTTGCTACCGGAAACATGTAGAAACTATTAAAGTATATCAATATTTCAAACAACAGTCAAGGAATTAAGATACTTCCTCAGAACACACATGCATAACTTTAAAATCTCAACAGCAAAAACAAGGCAATTCAAGTGCAGACAAAATAGCTGAGTATAAGTAATTAGAATAAACAATGCAATTAGTGCAACAAGCTAACACAAAAAACGAATGACAATAATACAAATGTGCATACCTTCATGTTGTGCTTCAACTTCAAATAGACCCACAGTACGTCAATTTTGACCCGCACAATCAAATTCAAAACCTCCCAATTGGGTGAAAATCTTGTGGGCATCTTAATAGCTCTTCATATTCAAAGGAAACAATTTTGCACTACAAAACAATGAGTATTGATATGTTTTGATATGAGTATTGTATGTTTATTTGAACAGAAAATGGGCTTCAGTACATGTGGTCGGAGCCTCAACCCTTTGTCGTGTCAGTGAGTGTCAAAACCAGAGGATGTGACGGCTACCCTGACGAAGATTCAGATGAGAGCTGTGAGTATTTCTTGATCATGTGATCTTAAGACGTAACCCCTGCTGACCTTTGACCTTTTAATTGCTCCAGTCATGTTAGAGAAAGTAAACTAAATTATAAGGTGTAATTACTCTGTCCACATCCAGCAGGGCGAGTCATTCCTGTTCTACAGTGCCTTTTGAATCCTGTCATTTATAATTAATGAATATGTTTGTGTCATTTTTGTATATATTTTGATATCTAATATGCTAAGATAAGCTATGCTAACGACATTGTACTCATGTTTTGTTGTTGCAGATAACTTGAGTGTGTCAGAGGGCCAGGCTGTGCTGAGATCAGTGACTGTATGGGGTGCTCTGAGAGGTGTGAATTTATGCTCCTTGTCTCTTTTATTCTTTGATTGGATTAAAAGCACTAACACTAATAGTTGTGTCTTTTCCAACATATAAAACCTGAAAATCAGGTCTGGAGTCCTTCAGTCAGCTTGTGTACCAGGATGATTATGGCTCTGTAAGTATTGTGTGACAGGATGTAGGCATGTGCTTGTAATAAATTGCTATTTTGCAGCTGTATGCTAATATACTGTATGTTAATTTACTTCCATATAGTATTTTATCAACAAGACAGAGATTGTAGACTTTCCACGTTTTGCATTCAGAGGACTTTTACTGGACACTTCAAGGCATTATTTACCCCTCCATGCTATTTTGAAGACCCTGGTGTGTATTTACTGTTCATTATAAATATTAAAATAAAAATTTAAAAAGTTATAATTAATATTTTTACATTAATTATGCACTACCATTCAAAGTATATTTTGCTCACCAAGGCTGCATTTACATGATCAGAAATACAGTAATATTGAAACATTTTTACCATTTAAAATAACCATGTTCTTTTTGAAAATAGTTTAAAATGTAATTTATTCCTGTGATGCAAAGCTGGATTTTCAGCATCATTACTCCAGTCTTCAGAGTCACATGATCCTCCAGAAATCATTCTAATATGCTGATTTGCTGCTCAAGAAACATTTCTGATTATCATCAATGCTGAAAACAGTTGTGCTGCTGAATATTTTCTGGATTATTTGATGAATAGAAAGTTCAAAAGAACAGCATTTATTTGAAATATAAATCTTTTGTAACATCATAAATGTCTTTACTGTCACTTTTAATCAATGTGATGCATCCTTGCTGAATAAAAGTATTAATTTCTTTAAAAAAAAAACCTTTCTGACTCTAAACTTGTAACCAGTATCGTGAAATAAAATAAATAATATTTGTATTTTTCTTAGGATGCTATGGCCTACAGTAAATTTAACGTCTTTCACTGGCACATCGTGGATGATCCTTCTTTCCCGTATCAGAGCCGCACCTTTCCTGACCTCAGTAATAAGGTAGAGATGCTGTAAAATCACTTCCAAAACTGCAAAAAATGGTAACATTTCAGACACACTCCTCATTTTTAATACAGCATTTTAACCTCTATTCTTCAGAACTGCTTACAGTAAACTTTTGTTGTTTATATTGATTGTAGTGGCTTTAAAAATGCAGTATATGTAATATTTACACTCTATATCTCAAGGCAGCTTTTATAGTATTTATTAATGTCTCAAATAAACGTTTATTTTTATGTTTTTTATTTGTCAGTTTTAATTTTATAAAGTTTAAGTTATAGTCATTTTGGTATGTGGTTTTGTAATTTATATAGTTTTTTTAGAAACATTTCCAGTCGCTTTCATTTATTTTTCTTAAAGGGGTCCTATTATGCTCTTTTACAAAGTCTTGATTTTGTTTTGGGGGTGTACTAGAACATGCTCTCATGCTTGGTGGTTCGAAAAACGCATTATTTTTCACATAATTTACATTATTACAATACCTTTCTCCCCAGCCTGGCACAAACGGCTCGATTAGTTCAGGCTTTGATGAAGGTCCGCCTTCCGAAAAACAAAATGTGTTGTGATTGGTTAGCTTTCCCAGTGCGTTGTGATTGGCGAACAGCTTAGACGGTGTTCATACTGCCACACCCCTTGCTCCGTCTTTCAACAAAAGCTTTTGGGAATCCGGCACTACTCACTCGTGTTGTGGAAGCTGTCCTCAGTGAAATGCGCAGCACACAATAGCAAATTGGGGTTATGATGCTCAGGAACAGAGTTAAAAAGTAAATTGCAACCAACCGCTTTCGGAAGCCCAAACAAAGACATTTGGGCACGGAGGTGAAAAAAACAGCGTTTCAGGCGGTCGCGCACCGGACGAGAAGCGCAGCATCGCGTCGCACCACATCTTTAAAATTCAAATACATTATGTTCTATGAGTGTAGGCACACCGGCGGTGCCGTTCGGCGTCTGTCCGCGGCGCCCAGCTACGTCGTGTTATACTTGTAAGAATTGCTCTAGACATGCCGAAAATTTGACGCTACAGCAGAGCAGCTCTTCTTCTTCGTTTTCTCTGATGCACTAACTCTGCAGCAGCACTTCTTCTTCATCGTCCCGTCTGATGCACTCACTCAACCAAGCGTTCTAACCACAACATCGCCCCTCCCCACCCCCCAACCATTCGAATTTCTGTAGGCGGGAATTATTTTTAATGATATTCTAATGAGCCGCTTTGTGATTATCACAAAGCCCGGAAACCAACGCTGTAGTCCAAACGAGCCGTTCGTTGTAGTTCTTGAAAAGGGATTTTTAAAAAACGAAATATCTCCCTTTGGAGTGGACTTTGAGATTTGTAACTTTCTAGATCTTTTTTATGCCCAAATATACGCACTACACACTGACTCAAATTAAAAAAGTGAAAAAGCATAATAGGAATTATATATAAAAAAAAATTGTTTTAATAAAAACTTTTTTTTTTCCCCGTTTTTTAAATATGTAATGTGTATATTTTATTTTACCCTTATTTCAGTTAACGAAAACACCTTTTAATAGTTTTAACAATAACATCAGTGCTCTGTCTTTTTCTTGTAGGGAGCTTTTCATCCGTTTACTCACGTCTACACACAGTCAGATGTGATGAGGGTGATTGAACATGCGAGAATGAGAGGCATCAGAGTCATTCCAGAGTTTGACTCTCCTGGACACACTCAGTCATGGGGGAAAGGTACACACACACACACACACACATCTACTGGAAAAACATGAAATCAGAGATTATAAAAACTAATGTTAAAGAGTAATGATGTTTGTTCTCTATTCTCAGGACAGCCAAACCTCTTGACTCCCTGTTACAAGGGGGATGTGCCCTCTGGTTCATTCGGACCTGTCGATCCAACAGTAGACACCACTTATAAGTTCATGGAAAGCCTCTTGAAAGAGGTGAAGTTTGTCTTTCCTGACTCTTACGTTCATTTAGGAGGGGATGAGGTCAGTTTTGCCTGCTGGTAAGCATTTTTGTCACATGTTGTTGTTTTGGGTGCCTCATTGGAGCTTAACTGCACAAAACAAACAAAAAAGGGTGGATTTTTCATTCATAGACTTTAGCGGTGTTATCCTCTCAAACAGGCAGTCGAATCCCAATGTGCGAACGTTTATGGAAAAGATGGGCTTTGGGAAGGATTTTACCAAACTGGAATCATTCTATATGGAGAGGTGAGGGGAAATGTGAGAGTGTTTAAAAACAAAGCTGACTTAAAATGTTCAAAACGTTTGGGGTCTCTAAGATTTTATAATGTTTTTGAGATCTCTTATGCTCATGAAGACTGCATTTATTTGATCAGAAATAAAAACAGTAATAACGTAAAATGTTTTTACAATTTAAAATAGCCGTTTTCTATTGTAATATATTGTAAAATGTAATTTATTGCTGTGATCAAAGCTGTATTTTCAGCATCATTACTCCAGTCTTCAGTGTCACGTGATCATTCAGAAATCATAATAATATTCTGATTTGCTGCTCAAGAAATATTTATTATTATGATCAGTGTTGGAAACAGTTGTGCTGCTTCACATTTGTGTGGAAACTGATTTTTTATTTTTTTTTGGCAGGAGTACAGCATTTATTTGAAATGTCTTTAAAGTCACTTTTGAATCACTTACTGAATGAAAGTATTAATTTAAAAACATAAACTTTTGAACAGTTTGGACATAACTACTCATTCATTATTATTACAGTTTTTCTCAATTGCTTTGGCACATTTTTGATTTCATCAGAGACTCTGACTCTTCTATTTCCACCTCTTCCTCTATTATGTCTTCCTCTAACACCACCACCACGTATTCTTACACGTCTTCCAATTGCTCTTCCACGAGCATGTTGCTGCAGTTCAGGGTTGTGGAAGTCCTCCATTCTTAGTGATTGTGCTGTGGGCAATCTACATATATATGCTCCCAAACTTGATTGGTTAAATGGTTGAATGGTTGATTCAAATTGTATTGCAATTAGAGGTCATTTGCCAATTTAGCAGACATTACAAACAATGTCAATGTCAGATATTTATGGAATATACATGCGTGTATACCAATTTTTCATAATTGAATGGATCGTTTTGAATGTGATGGCTTACACGATGAAAAATGATTGAGAAGTTGTGAAGAGTTTGACAGTTTAAGTGAGAATCGGCTCATCAGTTTTGATCAACAAGCCATATGCAATTAGTTGTTGTGCAAACTGCAGACAATTGTACTTACTGTTTGCACACATGTGCCAAAGCATTTGCAATTTGCTCAAATCAATAAGAAATTCCAATCTGATGTGAACAAGAAGCTAATTGTTCAGAGATCTGAACTTACTGTTTCGGGAAAAAAAAGTTTCATTCGAGAATTGAGCCAAAGCAATTGAGAAAAACTGTAATATTTTCACATTCTAAATGAACAGCATAACTTGTTGACTACATGATCTTTTCCAACTGATCCATTTATTTTTAATTAAAATAAAATTAAATAGCAATTATTTTAATTTTTTTTTTTAATTAATTAATATTTAACTTTTCAAAAGTTTAAATTTTATTTGGTTCAATCCAGGATTCTAAAATATATTTGGTTGAAACCATAAAATAACCATAAAAAAACATAAGATAAATAAATAAATGAAATTCTGTTTTAATATGTTTAGTACATATTTTTGTCTTGTGACAGTTGGTTCATAGAAGAATAAATATTTACAAATTTACTGCAGAAACATAAATAGCACATTCATGAACGCAGTGTTTATGTTTTTCACTGTCTCTCTTTATGTTCTTCAGTATAATGAACATGACCGCCGCTCTCAACAGAACCTCCATTGTTTGGCAGGACGTGTTTGACTACCACGAGCGAGTGAGTAGAAACAGTCGCACTGGTTGCATTTTGAAAAGATTGTAACAGTATGTGTGATTGTAACAGGAATGAGATGCTTCTCTTCTAGCCCAGATCTAAGTACGTGGTGGAGGTTTGGAAGCAGGGCTGTTACCTGTGTGAGATGCGCCGGGTGACTAAGGCAGGGTTAAAGGTCATCCTGGCGGCCCCTTTCTACCTCGACCTGCCGATACCCACTCACAGCTGGGCCCGTTACTACATCGTGCGGCCCTTAGCCTTTAGGGGTCAGAGCATGAGTGCAAAACACTAACAATACTTGCAGTGCTGTGTCTCAGTGTAGTGCTGACTTTTCTCAAATCTTCATTCTGTCATGAAAATGAGTGTTCTGCTGTGAGAATCAAACAAACATGCTATGATTAAAGCATGACTTTATCAGTGTTGTTTTAGTATTATTTATATACTATTAAAATATTCATTTATATTTGGAGTTAATTTTCAGTTTTCATTTAAATTTCATTTAAATCATTTAATTTTAAATTTACTTTAATTTTAATGTTTTTTTTATTTTGATTTATTATTATTAAAAAAATGTAATATTATTATTATTATTATTATTTTTTTTTTTCAGTTTTAGTTTTAGAACTTCAATTTAAAGAGACACCATATAACTTTTGGCCCTCTAGCAGTTGGAAAATGAAACGCATGCATCTTGCAAAAGGAACATGCATGGGCGAATGAAGTATGCATGCAACGTCCTGCGAAATCTATCCCAACAGCTCTAAAATATTAATTATTATTATTATAGGTTTATCAGAGTGTATTTTGTAAAGTAAAGACATGGTTTGGACTGGTCATTAATAACATTTTGTTTTGTTTTTGTTTAATAAAAAAGTAACAGTGTAGATTTAAACTGATTTATTTCAGTTATGTATTTATATTTCATTTTATTTCAGCTATATTTCAATTAATAGTTTCAGTTTTTAACAACACTTGACTTTGTATTTTGGTATTGCATCAGCTAAGCAGGGATATTATAGTTAATTAAAACTAAAACCATTAAAAAATATATTACTTGAACATTAACTAAAAAAAACATAAGCTTATTTTATTTCAGGTAGTTGCCAATGCAACATCTCTCATTTAGTTTATCTTTATGTATTAAAATAACTAAAACTAAAACTGAAAAAAAAAGTACCAAAACTTTAACTAATATTAAAATGAAAATAGAAAATATTAAAATAGAAACTAATTCAAATTATTAAGGAAAACTATAATAGTATGTCGATACTAAAATAACACTGCAAATTAAATAACTAGTACAATAGGGAAAAAACAACTTTAAGAGTAACAGATGAATGAAACGCCTCATGTTCCCTATTCTGCACTCAGAATGCAGCATTGAAATGCTGTTGTCACGATCACTGCACTTTCTAACCAGAAGGTGTCGATCAAGAGTCGGGTTTTGATAGTGTGAGGTGAAACACAGTGTCATCAGACTGTACATGTGACACAAATAGTTTCCCCAGCCTTTCAGAAGATATAAAGCAAAATTTATCAAATATAATTTTTGTTGTATGTCAGAACAGTGGCCTAGTGATTAACACGTTGAGCTATGGTGCTCGTTTGGGCCTTTTGAGTTTGAATCTAGCTTGCAACATTTTTCAGATCTCGTTTCCGCCTCTTCCTCCCATCATTTTCTGTCCTCCCTCCACAGAACGCTCGGTGAAAGCCTCAAAATGTTGCATTTATGCAGATGAATAAAGCAGAGATGGTTGGTAATGCCATAAGGCGTGGAAAGTGCAGTGCGTGTGACCCAGTGTTTCCTGCTGTCTCAGATTCCACAGGACACGGTTCTGGAGATCTGGAAGGGTGAAACTTACCAGGCTGAACTGAGCAGGATGACCAAGGCTGGGCACAGGGTTCTGCTCTCTGCCCCCTGGTACATCAACCACATCAGCTACGGCCAGGACTGGCGTAACTCCTACGCAGTGCAGCCCCAGAATTTCTCCGGTGTGTGGAGCAGCGTGTTAGGCTGCGGTCCAATATGAAATGCTTCATACAAAGTATACAAGCAAACGGGTGATTCATGAGAACCTGATGGTGTTTCCTGGTTCAGATTCGAATTAAGTGGAGTTTGTTTAATTTAGCGAATTCAGTAGAGAATTAGTCAGCTCTAATGAATGACTTTCAACTATTCTAATTAATGATTATTCAGCTATTATCATTTTAACTCAATTCTGGAGTTTTGTTTGCTGTTTTTGTTTGTAGTGCAGTGCTGGTGTGTTTTCAGTGTATATCTGCAGTCTTTGATGAAATTATTTTGGGCATTTTTTCTTCTATGATTTAGGGAAATACATTTTTTATGAATTCATTTTAAATATTTCTATGTAACTTTAAATTATTTTTATTTCAGTTTTAGTATTTTTAGTATTTTAGTCTAAACTTGTTTTATTTCAGTTAGTTGCCAAGGCAACATTTCTAATTTTAGTTTTTTAAGTTTTAAACTTAAGTTAACTCTGTTGTATTTGGTAACATTTGTGCATTTTGTGTCAAATTTAGGAATAGAAGAGAATATTGTTTTTTATTAATTTGTTTTCTAATTAGCTTTAATTTATTTTATTTCAGTTTTAGCATTTTTAGTGCTTCAGCTTAAGTTGAGTTTATTTCAGTTAGCTGCCAAGGCAGTTTTTCTAATAAATTTTTTTTAATATTTTTTAATTTAATTTTAACAAATTTATTTAACTTACATTATATCTGTTTTATTTTGGTTATTTGGTGCATTTTCCCCTATGATTTAGGGACAGAAAAGCAGAGAAAGATTTTAATTTATTATTTTTAATTTATTTAATTTATTTATTTATTTATTTATTTCAAATATATATATATATATATAATTTTTATTTTTTTTAGTATTTTTAGTATCTCAGCTTAAACTTGTTTTATTTCAGTTTAATTTAAATGCCTTGTTTTAAATGCCAGGGCAACATTTCTTATTTTCAATTGTTTTTCGGTTTTAGTTTTAAGTTATATGTGTTGTATGTATTTAGTTAAATTATAATTTTTTTTTCCTGATTTAGGGACGGAAGAGCAGAAGAAGTTGGTGATTGGTGGAGAGGTCGCCATGTGGGGTGAATATGTCGACGCCACCAATCTGAACCCACGCCTGTGGTATGAAAAAATACACAGACAAGATTATAATTCATATTATTATTATTATTTATACAGAATCTTCCATATCTTTGTGATCTTTGTGAAGGCCGAGAGCCTGTGCTGCAGCGGAGAGGTTGTGGAGCGATGAAGAAAAAACCCTGAACGCAGATCTGGCCTTCCCTCGCCTGGAAAAGTTTCGCTGTGAACTTCTAAGGTATTGGAAATATGTTTGTAATCATTCCTTATCAACCTCTGCTTCGTTTCAGTGGCACAGTGCACATTCAAAATGAAATATTTAGTATTATTAAAACAGATATATGCTTTATTGCTTATATATATTGTATAAGAATACTATTCAAGTATATCAGAAGAATTTAGTTTTAAAGAGTTAATTGTTTTTACCATTAAAAAGCACTTGCTGTTTGTGTTTCCGCAGGCGGGGTATTCAAGCGGAGCCTCTGTTTGTAGGTCATTGTAAACATGAGTATGATGGCCTGTAAGTCCACTAAAACTGAAGAGCGATGTGTTTATGCACTGCGATATTGCTTTGGAATTTGCACAATACTCTCTCTATTTTTTTTTGTTCATTCTAAAAAATTAATTAATGATCATGTAAATTGACTTTTACAAAAGAAAATGTGAAATTTATTAATAAAGATCTATTCAAGAATGAATTAGTTGTGTATTACGTTACAAGTTAATCTTCTTTTTTAATAATAACAATATTATAAACATGAATATTGTATTTAGCCCTAAATTGTATTTGGCCCCAAAAAAGTATTTGGACACTGAAGTTGCACTTAAAACTACTGTATATAAAACAATCAAGTCATTACCGTTGTGGCAGATGTAAAATGCATATCTCATTTCATTAACAAAGGTTCAGTTTGGTCCTGATTTCCCACATTTGGAGAGTATGAGGTAAACGGCTGATGTAAAGTACCTACACATTTAATGAAATCTCCTGCCACTGCGACACCAATCCCGTCTCACAGCCGCACAGCAGCAGATCCTATTAACACTGATGGGCTTTATACACAAGATAAAGTAGGACAGTGAGAGGTGTGAACGTTGTTAGTGTAGCTGCAAAAAGCAAGTGCAGTCAATGTTCTTTTAGTATATAGCATCTATAATATTTTATTACATTTTGTTTTTATTTGTACATTTATTTTACATTTAAGTAATATTGTTATGTACTTTTGTTAATTTTATTTTATTTTTAGTATTTCTATCTACCTTTCATTTATTTTTACTTCGCTTTTTAATAATTTTAGTACTCAAGTTTTTCATCCATTTTTTTCAGTTAACAAAAACGTGTAATATTTTTAGCTTTAGTTAAAAATAACAACACTGCCTGGAACATTCCTTTAGCTGTTTATTTATTTATTTTAATTTATTTTATTATAGTGAATTTTAAGGTCTTTAATTTTTTTTTCTCACTCATAAAGTAAATACATTATACATTTTATTATAATTATATTAATAATAAATAAAATGTTTTTCTCTCTATCTGTGTATATATACATATATATATATATTACATATAATTATATATGTATGTATATATATATATATATATATATATTATATATTTTTT